TGCCGCTGCTGCTGCTGCTGATGGTCATGGCGGTGATGATGACGATTGTGACGACGATGCCGACGACGATAACGTCGATTACTCTGACCTCGATAAACATGATGCTGATGATGTTGGTGATGATGATGCTGATGATGACGGTGGTGGTGGTGGTGACGAAGATGGTGTGAGTGATCGGGATGATGACGACCATGCTGATGGTGCTGATGATGAGAGTGGCGATGATGACCATTATGGCAATGCTTGTGACGATGATGATGTTGTTGGTGCTCATTACGATGATGATCGTGATGCTGATGATGATGCTGGAGATGATGGTAGTGATGATGATGATGACGATGAGGAGGATGCTAATGAATATGATTATGAGTATGATTATTGTGATGACACTGAAACTGATGATGATGATGATGATGATGATGTGGACGATTCGGGGCCATCTTGTTTCTTCCTTGTGCAAACGGCGGAGGGCGGCCTCGAGGGAAACGCCAGCAGTGAAGCACAGACACGGAGAAACATTAAAAGCTCAAGTGGGTGGGGGGGCCCAGGGTAGAACTTGAGCAAGGGAATACGGCCGCGGTGTTGCCACAAATGCCGACAAGTCGCTGTATGTGGACGATTCGGGGCCATCTTGTTTCTTCTTTGTGCAAACGGCGGAGGGCGGCCTCGAGGGAAACGCCAGCAGTGAAGCACAGACACGGTACCACACGCTAGTCTACCCAGGTGGCCACAGCCGAATTACTCATTGACCAAACATTTTCTTATATCTCGCGGCGCGGGACAGATGACGAGCTTCGGCCACTATCATTTCAGTGCCAGCAATGGCCACTTCCGAGGGGAGACCCTTAGCAGAGGCACGAGCTACGGCGTCCAGTGCTGGACGTCCCAGGCCTCCCAGGTGACGTCTCAGAGTGCGATCACAGAGGCCATGGGCGCAGAGGCAACGACGAGCGAGGCAATCAAGATCCCGCACGCTCCATCCGACGAGGTGGAGTCGCTGTCTCACGCGCCCCGCATACATGCACGCATCGAGGGAGCAGGAGGAGGAGGAAGAGGCAAGGAGAGGGGACAGGCGGGGATGCCTCCAAATGAGGCTCGACACAGGGTGCATAAAAATGATCGGGACTCTGCGGAAGATACACTCCGCAATCAATTTGAAGGTGGATTCAGCCAACGCGTTTGCCACTCGCACGGCGCGACAGGCGGCCTCTGAGGCTCTATTCACGTGCAGCAGAGAATCAAATTTGCGGACACGCGACGCCCCTGGCGCCCAGGTGTCCCAGGGCAAGGACGCCCAGACTCCGAGCACAGCCGAGGCGCGCACCCAGCCAGTCAGAGACTTCAGAACCTGAGGGCCAGCGAGGTCGTCGAGGCGATGTCGAGCAACGTTCGCAGCAACGGTGCCGAGCCCGCGGGCCTCGCACATTCGCCGAACTCGGTCGGGGACACAGGTGCAGAGCATGATGAGGCACGGCATCACGGTGGCATGCGCCCGCGCACGTAGCCACAGGCGCCTCGCACGAAGAGCCACTTGTCGGTCATCGCGGGAGGCGCCTGCACCGGCGCCGCCGCCGACACCGGCCTGAGGGGCGGCAGCGGCAGCGACAAGATGCCCGTCCTCGGGGTCACGCCCATCAGGCCCAGCAGATCGCTCTCGACCTTCTGCCCGAAGTCGACCAGCGCAGGGTCGAGCTGACCCAGCCGCTGCTGCATGCGCGCCCGCTTGGCGTACCTGTTCAGAGACTGGTCCGTCCTCCACCTGCCGCGGTCCTTGACCTCCTTCCTCGTGCGGCGACCCGAGAGGAGGTCGTCGGAGGCCCCCCCGTGGCCCAGCGAGTAGAGGGAGGTCTGCTGGTCGGAGATCCCGAGCTGGACCAGGGCCTCCGCGAAAGCGCGCCGCAGCTGGTGCGGCGTGAAGGCCCAGAGGCTCTCCTCCGCGCGGCGTCCTTGCCGAAGCGCCTCGAGGAGAAGCCAGAGGAGAGGATCGTCGACGATGACGCTCTCGTCGGTGACCCCCGTCTTGCCAGGCCTCCCGCTCGCCGCGTCGTTCACCAACAGAGCCCAGTGCTGGTAGCCCTCCGTGGCGCCCGACCTCGGCGCGATCAGGGAGGCCGCCGTGAGACGGTAGGCCTCGCTGGGGCGGAGGTACGTGTCGAACGCGATCCCCACGAAGACCGCCTGCGACAAAAGCCCCTGAGACAGCAGCACGCCCACGATGGCGAACATCGCGACCCTCGGCAGCGGCAGCCTCATCTGCGGCGGCACGAGCTTCGTCCAACCCTGAAGGGCCCGAAAGGCCCGTGGCAGCGGGCGGCTGCCCATCAGCGTCGACGGCAGATGGTGCTTCAGAGAGGCCATCGTGACGCGGCCCGTCGCACTGTCGTACCCGTCGAGGAAGAGGTGGACGAAGAACACCACGAGGATCGTGTCGAGCTCGACGCTGTTCTTGAAGTCCCTGGCGGTCCAGAGGCACCAGTTCAGAAACCGGAGGGCGGAGGCGTGGTAGTTCTTGCCCGTCGACTCCGAGACCGCGTTGGCCTCCAGCACCGACAGTCCGCCCCGCAGAAGCGCCAGCGGACCAGGATGTTCCCGCCTGGCCCTCGCCGCCTTGATCACCTCCCTGGGAGATCCGCGGGCGGCGCGCGACGAGGTACGACCCGACGTCCTCGAAGCTAGGGCCGACGAAGAAACCTTCCCTCGACGGCTTGTCCGCGACATTCCTCTCTGACGGCACCCACCGCGCGAGCAGGCGCAGGCCGCAGGCGAGGGCCACGCCAGCGATCCGCCGCAGGGCGCGGAGAAGATGTCGGCTCCCAGACCGCCCCTTGCCAAGCGACAGAGCTAGAGCCAACTTGTCCACGATGCAGACGACGCGATGATGATGAGCACCCAGGGCCCTCGAGGCATGATGGACGCTGAACCCCGGGGCCTCCGCCTCGTACTGAAGGATATCGCAGCCACGGCGGGTGTGACGGCTAGAGTGCATGGTCTTCCAACCCTCGGCCCCGTAGATGGACTCAGGGACCTCGAGGAACCCACTGGGCCCAGACGACGAAGCAGTAGAGGCAGTATACGATGTGTCGGCACGGCAACCGTCGGCAGCATCGTCACGACCGTCGACGTCAAGGGCACGTGATCTGGCAAGCACGGCATCCCCATGACGATATCTCCAGCGTTCGGCGACTCGGCCGACCTCGGACGACAGCGCGGGGGAGACCTCCTTGACACAGACGCCCTTCCCGTACGGCGACGCATCAGAAGCATAGGCCCGCGAATGCCAGCGAGACCTCGTAGAGGCACTCCAGAGCGGGATGAGGGCCACGGCAGCCGACAACTCCCTGACGACCGAGGGCCACAGGGGTCCAGGATGAGGTCCCACAGCCCCCATGAACCGATAGACCGCGTTAAAGATGCTCAGAACGTCGCGCCTCAGGATCATCCCCCAAGTACAGTGGCCTACGAGCACGCTGAGGGCCCCAGCAGGGGCCCGCCCACGCTTCAAGAGCCCGAGAACGGCTTGACGACTGCGAGCGAGGCGGTCAGGACGAACACGAATGATCCCAGAGGCTCCGTCGATCTCCAAGCCCGTGAATACCCCCTTACTGACCGCAGGGGGGAATTCCAAGACAGGCAGCCCGCGGGCCGTGAGAAGGTCAGCAACGGCACGCGCCAGGGACGTGGCTGTCTCGGCACACTTGGATACGACGCAGAAGTTGCCAACGAATCCTGCACACACCGCGTCCTTCTCAGCGACCAAGGGTCGCGGGCAGCCCCCATCCAGAATCATATCGTCGCGACCGAACCCGACATCCGACAGGGCTCTCGTCAGCGCAATCTGGCACAAGTGAAGGGCCCAACTCCATCCCATGGGAACGACCGTGACAAGAGGCTGGACGCAGTCGTTGATGCCAAGACGAACCCCGTTGACCGACTTGAGGCCGACGAATCTGTTGTTTATCGGAGGCAGAGAGAACAGCGACTCCATGCCAGCTGGCAAACGTAAATGATAAAAAGCACACTGAATGTCGCCCTGCGCGAAATGAAAACTGTCGTCACAGTCAAGGCTGGCCCGCGCGCTGGGCGTGGGGAGACGAGTGGCTGGTGGGCAGGAGAAACTGCAATTGGCCAGCCTGGTGTCGAACGCCAGCCTCAGCTTGCCGTTTGATTTCTGCGCGAAGAAGAGACCAGTAGAGAAGGATGCCTGTTCGGTGGAGACCCGCCAGGAGATCATGCCGTGGGCCTCCAGCTGCTTCAAAAACTCAGCGTAGGTCTTCGGCTTAAAGCGCAGCTCAGGATCGACATAAGGGCGGATAACCCCCAGCGAATCGCGCAGCTCCGCCGCCACCGACTCGGGATTCAGCATACTCTGCCTCCAATCCTGCAGCACGATGGAGTCGGCCTCGGAGACGACGCCGCAGGTGGAGACTGCCTTCGTCGACTCGGGCCAGGCCACAAGCGGCATGCTGTAGGGGCGCACTCGACCGCTGCCACCAGCGTAGCCAGGTGCCTGTGCGAGCATCTCTACGAGGGATGCTTCGCAATCGCGGCCTCTCTCCGAGTAGGCGGCGGGCAGCTCGAAGTCGCGGTGCAGCCCCGCGATGTAGTCCACAGCGGCTGCCTGGGCCGCGGGCGGCGGCCCCCCTTCGTCAGGCATGGAAGGCTCGCCCTTGCCGCAGTGGAGCCAGCTGAGAGCAGACGACCCCTCGTTGCACCACTCTCTCCAGCCCGCGCCTTTGGCGGCGCGCAGACGAGCCCCGCGACCAAGCGGAAGATGGCGACGCCCATCCACTGGAAGAAGAGGAAGCGGAAAAACGTCTCGCTGGCGATGGTCACCTCGCGCGGGCAACTCCAGGCCAGGTGGGGCCTCGACGGGCTCGGGGCCAAGCTGGCCAGGCTCACGAGCAGGTGGCGCGTCGTGAGGCCCCCCCCTGACCAGCGTCCTTCGGGAACGTCATGGCTGCCGCAAGGCCCGCTCCTCGCGAGCCTTGCGGCGCTCCTTCGCAACGGTAGCCTCACTCTTCATCTGCTCAGCAAACCAATCCATTAAGGGTGGGGGAATGCATAAATTGCCCAACGTCTCTCCAGTGCCGAGGAAGTGGCCAATCTCGGAGGAAATGTGGGCGGCCGCGGCCGCGGCGCCGTCCTTGGCCTGGCCCTTGGGCTTGGGCCCAGGGTGAGTCCTGCGCGCCCGCTCCTCAAAGAAGCGCCCCTCCACCATCAGCAGCTGCCGCGATAGGAACTCGTAGGAAGACAGCCCGCAGATGATCAGCTGGTCGTGGCAGCGCAAGGTCTCGACGACACGGCGCAGCGTCTCGTACAGCCTGTCGGTGTCGTCCGTCTCTGAGGCCTGCTTCATGGCCACCCAGCGGTTGAGCCACGACGTCGCCCCGTCCGCCATGGGGAGCATGAAGTGGAGCACCCGCATCGTGGTCGTCAGGCCCTTCACGGGCCAGTCGGCGCGGGGGGTCTCGGTCTGGCGCTTGACAGCGCCCCTGACAAGCATGTCCCGCGCCCCCCGCGCGTCGAGGTCGGTGGCCAGCACGCGGGGATCAGACCCTGCGGCGCCTGGGGTCGCGGGGGCCGCGGCGGCGGCGCCGACGCCCGGAGGGCCAGCGGCGGCAGGCAGGGCGGCCCCCCCCGCGCCGAGCGCCGCGGCCAGCGCGCCCAGCCCGCTCACAGGCGTAGCGGCAGACGCGGCCGGCGGCCCAGGGGCGCCCGCGGGGGGCGCGGCCGCGCCAGCCAAGGCCGGGGCGCCAGGCGCTGCGGCGGCGGGGCCCGCTCCGAGCGGGTCGAACACGGCCAGGGCCCCCTTCGAGACGCCCAACACGTTGTCGGCGCTGAGCTCGAGGATGAAGGGCGAACGCGCCAGAGGCCCATGGGCCTGGGCGACGCAGCTCCGCGCAGCAGCCCAGGCGACGGCTGCCGACGGCAGCCGCCAAAACTTGTCGAGCTTGTTGGCGGCGACGCCTACAATCGCGACGCCCTGGCCCGCCGAGTCATGCACAGCTCTCAAGTCACCACCTGCCGCGTCGCTCTCAGCATATACCTCATCGTCAGGGGTAAGGATGTACCCAGGCAGCAGAGTGAGTCTCTCGTGGAGGAGAGCGGCCGCCCCGACGTTGTACCAGAAGTAGTGGAACTGTCCAGCGGTGCGAGCAGCCATTCCGCCTGAAGGCGGAACTTCCTCGCCTGGGTAGTCGCCGCGCTCGCGAGGTCGAGAGTGTCCGCGGCCTCCTGAAGCGATGCTGGAGCGGGTGCAGGCTGCACCAGGGGGGCCGTCAGCGAGCTCTTGACCCAGTAGCCGCCAACGACGCTGCCGTACGCGAAGCCACCCACCACGAGCACGACCACGAACTCGATTGACCAGCCTGACGGCTGGGCAGAAGCCAGCGAGCCTCGCCAGTCGAGCAGCGGCACTCCACCGCTGGGCAGGCCAGCGCAGGAGAGCAGACGCGATCGGAGGAGGGCGTCGCGCTGCCGCGTACGGTGATGGCAGCGGAGAGGGCACTGTGAGGTCGGCGTTGACCCGCGCAAAGAATGAATGCTTGCGTTCCTTTAGAACTTGAGCAAGGGAATACGGCCGCGGTGTTGCCACAAATGCCGACAAGTCGCTGTATGATGATGACGAAGGTGATGCTGATTATGATAATGATTATGATGTTGATGTTTCTGATGATGATATGATGACGATGGTGATGGTGATGTGGTGAGGATGCATATTTTCTAAACAGAATCGGGGCTCAGGGGGGAGGGGTAAATCGGGGACGGTACGGGAGCCCTCTGCCCGCTGCGATAGCGGATGTGCACCGCGGAGCACTACGCACTCGGTGCAGTGGCGTCAGTCGCCCAGCACACGTGCGATCTGCGGGGCGCGCGGCCGCAGACCCTGATGCCAAAGAGACCCTAAAGAGCCGAGGACGGGCGGGGAGGCGAGGCCGAGCGGCGGGAAAACACACGCGGGGAAGAAGAGAAAGCTGTTTCGGGTGCGAGCCTCACTCAGGACACGGCGGAGCGACGAACGTCGAGGTGGCTGATCCGTGCGCTGTGGTCCGATGCAGATAGTGATGATGACAACTGTGATGCTGAGCCGGACGAGGCCATACTGGCCCATATGCTGGCCCAAGAGGCCTGTAGAGGGCCTCCGCGAGGCCACAGCAGGCCTCAAGAGGGTCCCCAAACGTCCCCCGAGGAGCTTCCAAGACGGCCCCAAGCTGGCGCAAGAGCGCGCCAAGGCGTGCCCAGAGCTAGGTCGGGCGTGTCCCCCTGCAGGCGGATTTTTGACGAAAAATAAACAAGCCTCAACAAGTACTCAAAAGATGCCCAGACATACAAAAACAACGCCCCTGGACTATTTACTATTTTTGAATATTCTTCCTGTAGAGGAACACGCCCGACTTAGGCCAAGGCGCGCCCAGAGGGATCCAGAACACGCTCCAAAATGACCCGACGGAACCTGACAAACACCCAATACGACACCCACGATTGCCCCAATACGACACCCACGATTGCGCCTGCCTGGGGCACGACAGGTGCACGTCTCTCCCCCCCCCCTTGATCCCCCCCCATTGCGCAACGCCCGAGACGCTGGGGTGGACGCGGCTCCGGATGCCGTCGGCCCGAAATGTCTCAATATGACCTGGTGGCAGTTGCCGTCGGCCCAAAATGTGTCGCCTGGTTGCGGTCACGGAAGCTGCCGGCTGCGAAGACACTCGCCGTGAGATCTCGATATTGCCAGTGGCCGACTCCCCAGCACCCACGGGTGCCCTGACATTGACCTCTCTTGGGGATCCACTGCTACTTCCGCCAACTTCCGCTGCTTTCCGCCGGCGAACCAATATCTGATTAATTTCCATTGTCTTCCGCCGAGTGCGAGCATCCAAATCCCACCAGCCTTTTAGAGCGTCGGTGGTTGATGGCGGTTGCTCTTCCACCCCCCTTCTTCCACTTCGGGGAGCGGTTACCCCCCCCCCTCTACCCCTTACCGCTGGGTCTGGACGGGGAGGAGGCGAGGTGTCAGAAGATTTCTTTTGGCCCCCGATGGCTCCAAGAGGGCCCCAGAAAACTTCATATTATTTTTGAGATGGCTTCAGGTACTCAAGATGGCTTCAGATGGCCTCTAAGATGGCTCCAATAGGCCCCAAGACTGCTCCAAGATGGCCTCAAGTGGCCACAGAGCCTCTCCAGAACGCCCCCGAGAGGCCCCCCGCCCTGCCAAACCACAAGAACACCATACATGTGTGCCCTCTCCTCCTCCTCCTCTTCCTCCTCCTCATCATCATCCATTCATCCTCCCCCTCTCATCGCTCCTCGTTCCTCCTCCTCCTCCTCTCTCGCTCTTCCGTTTCCGATCGGCTTTGGAAGCCTCACGATGGCTCCAGGAGGGCCCCAATAACGCCCAAGAGCGGCCCAGGGGCGGCCCAATGACGCCCCAACAAACGATTCTTGGGGCCCAAGAGGGGCAGCGCTAATCAACGACACCCCCTTTCCTCAAAGCCAAGGTCGTTGAACAGCATGCTTTTCTTCAAAGATTTATGAACATCGGGATATCCATGGGTGACGCTTGGGCCAACACTGCTCCGAGCTGGCATCAGAGCGCCCAAGGTGGCCTCCAAGATGGCTCAAGATACCCAAGATGGCGCACGATGGCCACCGCTATGCCTCCAAGAGGCCCCAACACATCCCCGCGACCCCGAATTGTTACGGAGCCTCCCAGGAAGGCCGACAAGAGACCAAATTCCGTTCCAAATCTGGGTAACATCAATGTGTGTTGCATCTTGTCTTTTCGATTCTGATCTGTCCTTGAAGCTCCAAAATAGGCCCAAGCCGGCCCAGGTAAACTGCCAAAGCGCTCCAATGTCGAGGGATCTGCGAGGGCGATTATGATTGACCCATGTGCCTGCCCAGGCAGATCGCGAACTTCGGTTTGACGGCTGCCCCCTCTCTTTGTTCCTCCGCGTGCTGCCACCTTTTCCCTGATCGATGCAACTCGCCTGGGCATCCGTGCTGGATAAGCTGGTGGGGATACCTTTCGGTACGCGGGCACGCGAAGCGACTCGAACGCCGTGCAAGCACTGGTGGGGATACTTTTTTGTCGCAACCGCAGGCGAGGGCGCCAGCGGCGAGTAAGGTCCGAGTGGGCCGCGCAAGAGCCGAATGGCCTAACGCCGACGGGCTGGCGACCTCAGCAGCGCCTCGGCGGGCGGGCCAGCGTGAGGGGGGGTGCGGGCTGCAGCTGCCAGGGACCAGGTCCAGGAGCGCGCACATGACTGGTGGAGATACTTTTTTGTTCGGCGGCCCGCAAAGAAAAGTCCAGAGGGCGTGTCAACTGGTGGAGATACGCGAAGCGTCAAGAATCCTCGACTCTTCGAATACAGAGCCCTTCCGGAGCGTCCTGCGTGACCATGTAGACAGAGGATCACACGACTACACAAGCAACATTTTGAAAGACCGCGCGCAGTTCTTTGGTCGGCGCTGGGAACCCTCGGCGCCGCCCTGGGGCGTGGGGAGGGGGTCCAGGGCTGACCAAACAAATGCACGCAGACCTGCGACCGTTCATGTTTTCTTCCTAATCAACCTGCCTGTAAAATTCAATATTCTCCATATAGACTTGCCCTATACGAATCCTAGCCCATCATAAGTAGTCGTTATTTAGGACACCCCCCCTTCTTCCAATGGCGCCCCCCCTTTTTCCAATGGCGCCCCCTTATTTCCAATGGCACCTCCCTCCCCCCCCTTTTTCCAATGGTACCCCCTTTTTTCCAATGCCACCCCCCAGCTATTTCCACTGGCGAGTCCTTGCTCTTGCGTGGTTGCTTGCTTGCTCTTGCTTTCCTTGCACTTGATTGCTTGCGCTTGCGTGCTTGCTCTCGCTTGCTTGCTCTTGCTTGCCCTTGCTTGCTTGCACTTGGTCGCTGGCTCTTGCTTGCGTGTTAGTGCTCGCTTGCGCTTGCTTGCTTCCGATTGGTTGCTTACGCTTGCTTGATTTTGCTCATCCCATCCT